AGTTCTTCGTACGATACAAACAGCACGTTATCAGGATTTAGTTGATGTAGTTTCCAATAGCCATACACGTGCTCGAGCCAATCGCCATAGAATAGGTGACCATGCACAAATAACTCGCAAAATGTGTCCCACGACCCGTTATAATTGCCCAGAAATTTGCTAATTCGGTGATAATAGTAATATGACACAGCAGTGTCCTTCGGGTTACGCACTACATATATGATCTAGACCACAGTAATAGATATTAAGCATAACATGTCTGAACATGGTAAACTTACTTTGCATTTCAATTGCTTCAATTCGGTCGGTATATGAGTGGCCGGCAAATGCGTGCCAATCATACGGTCACTCGATTGCGACGCTAACCGCTCGATATTGTCGTAAACCTCGATGTGTTTGATGCGCTCTATTACGGGTACATCACTTACGGACTCCGCGTTTCCGTTACGGTCTATGAGCGACAGTATCTGTTTAGTCCACGTCGTGCCTGACTTGGGGTAAGACACCAGCCATATATCGTTGGCCCGGACTTCAAAAGTGGCCATTTTTGACAAATATCGCGATGGGTTGACCCGACCCTGGAGTAGTAGGCCGTCCGCTAATATTGCGTCCGGAATAGAGCGCACATATTGAGAGCGAAGTTGATCGGAGTCCTCGTCAGGCATATTAACCGCCTCTACAATATTAATTGACCTGGAATATTAATATTATTATAAATTAGAAAAATTTATGATGGACAATTAATAAAACACAATAAGATTTACATTATTGGGTGTATTATATGAAAATTGTCACAAAAGCAAAAAATTGTTTTTGCAAACTTTTAAATGAATAAAAAAATCTATATAAATATGAAAACCCGTTAGCAACACTAGCACACAAAATGTGACATGCACATTTTACACATGACCTAACATTATTCGTCTACTATCTATAACAACCATGTACACAATTCTTAGAATCCACTAAATAGTGATGTATGATAGTGCTAACCTTATTAATCATTTACAACATTAGCATTGCATTTGAGATGTTTTTCAATAACTTATTTTTTATATCAGATAAATGGGAGGAAAGTATGAAAAATCATAGAAAAGAGAAATTGCACGTTTTAAGAATTGCTAAGATTTTTATTTAAAAATAATTTTAATTCAAACTTTCCAATAAAATATTTGTCCACTATGTTTTACAAAAGTATTTATAATACGGTTTTAAATGTACACTATTTTTGACAAATGCAAACCTTTCTTATATAAAAAAGCAAATATGAAAATCATAAATAAACAATATATTGCAGTAAAATCTCTTAAAAACACATTGAACTGCAATGAAAGTTTATTTTGGGAAATATATTATGTAGAACAATTTGTTTAAAGACTTATCATAAACTCATATTTTTACGATTGACTGTTATTTTGAAATAATAATTTATTACAGCAATAACTCAATACTCAATACTTATTCTCAATACTTTAATTATTAAAGTTTAATAGATGACTAAAATATAAAACAGACTCAAACACATGAATAATAGTTCTAAAATGTATTTACTTTCAAAAGCATTTTCTATTCAGTCTTCCTTTACCTTTGAAATAAAACAGTTTAATTGATTACCTCGTGTTTTCTTTAAGCCATGCCTCGGCCGACAGATTATTCTGACAGCCCGAGGAGTGGTTGTCCCGAACGGACCTAAGCCTTGCCTGTCATAGGACGGGAGGGGTTGCCTCGAAAGGCCGAAGACTCTTAATTTGATCACTAAATAGTGATTAGATTTGGGATTCAATTGAAATCTCGGATCGCAAGTCAACCGATTGACACCAGAAGGCAGGACTCATTCACAACCAGAAGTGCTAAACGATTGGACCAGAAGTTAGGCTATTGTGTAAAGCCTTCGAATAGCAGTAACTATTGGTCAGTAAATCCGTAACCGCCGACAAACTACATCCCAACGCCTCGTCGGACAACTAAACATCAATTATTAGTCCATTTATTACGGGTTTATCTTAGACTCACTGTATTATAACAATTACTTCAATCATTCACTAATGGTAAATTGTGAGTTGGTCACATTGGTTATTTATCTATTTGACAGCTATTTTATTTTAGTTAAACAGTATCACTATGATACTGTAGTACAAATCATGTATAACATACTTTTGGTGTAATAATTAAAATAGAGACATCATTTAGAAACGCGAGCAAAAACATTGAATATTTTTTGGATACTTCTTATAATTAGATTTATATAACAAATTTATAGTGTATTATAATATAATACTGTATATGATACAATAATGTACTAAAAATTTTCGCGAATCAGAGGATTAATATATCTAAAAAATATTTGATATTTAAATATTTGTTTCAAATCTCGGCTCAATTCCGATGCAAAGTCTTTCGGCGACGGTTTGGTGTATGAATCGCTTATACCGAAGGGGAACGTCTGTTTCCGGGCACCGAACCATACGATACTCTAGCAACGTATGTACCAGGGTCAATTTCAATTCAAGTAACGCGAATCGTAGGGCAACACAATTTCGGGGACCGACACCAAACGGCAGGTAAGTATAGGGCTTAATCAGGTGCTTATTTTCCGGCATGAATCTATCAGGCTTAAACTTGAAAGGATCCGGGTAATATTGTTCCGAGTGATGTATGGCATAGATAGGTATTTCCACCTGTTGTCCCGCTTTTATGGTAATACCTAATATAGACAATCAATTATAGAATATATACTGTACTGTATATGCAGTATAAACATGATCCATTTTCCTATTGGTTAAAAATATACTACCAGTTGTGCCTAGCTTATAATCCCGGGTTGGGTATCTTGACAGTGGAAGGGCTAATGAATGGTGGCGCAGTGTCTCTGCCATTACGGCATCCAAATAGGGTAGTCGTGCCAATCGGTCGTACTCTATGTCCCCGGTGTCCGAATCGACGGCACCGTTAATCTCGTCGTATAGCCGTTGCTGAACGTCGGGATTGACGGCCAATT